TGGAGAAGTCAATGTAATGGAATAGTCAAGGCAGATATGCTTTCCACCATGTCTTGGCCTGATCTTGGGAAAGAATAAAAGCTGAGTCTCAGCTTCCAACATGGTTGGGAAAGGAAGTTATACCTTCTTGAGAAAAAAACCAATTACTTTTAGTAATAATTCTTATGATTGAATGTACTGTCTTCCAAAATTTAATTCCAAATAATTGAATGCTTTCATTTGTAGCTGTACACCTAACGTAATAACACTCAGTTTATTGTTGTAGTACTGAGTGCAGAACTTAGCTGCATATTTCCCCCTTATTTTTGTACTTATAACAAAGTGAAAATAACACATGGATCTCAGGAATTGATTCTGTGACATTTTACCATGGTCCACTGAGCTGGGAACCAAGCTTGCACTCATGAGAATATGCTCCCCAAGACAGGTCAGTGAATAAAAGCTCCTCACATGAGTAAGGCTACAAGAATAGACTACAGGAGGTCAAGGTCAGTGGTGAGTTTTGGCTGAGTCAGGGTTGGAGGATAAGGCCCTTATGAATCCTATAAATAGTTCATTGTTAAAAGAGGTCAGACCTAATTCTGGAAGTATTTTGGAAGAAGAAACCACTGCGTGACTGATGACGTACACCAACCCAAGCCTCTCTGCTTATTAATGTGACATTTGTTTGGAACCAACATATAATAAATAAAAGATATTTTTAGGATGTGCCAGGGAAATGTATTCAGATTTTCAGAGAATAATTTGAGTATATTAAAAGTGTTGCACAGTATCAAAGAAATGGTTGTTAGAGTACACAAATAAGTAATTTAAAACCCGTGGTTTCTATTGATCCTCATGGAAACAGAAAAGCAGGCCAAGGAGGCTAAAAGTAGGTTTTACTCACCTGACTTCAATTAGCTAAAAGCTCATAGCTGGACTACTTTTACTCTAAGTCAAGGGAAGCAGGTGCCTCTACTACCATTTACCACATCCTAAGGCTGTAGCTTGGCAGAAACTTACACTAACCCAAGTGAGCACCAACATTGGGAAAAGCAGTTTCCCCAAGATCTTTTGCCCAGAATGAGTGGTTTATTCCCAGTTCTGTAGAGTAACTTCGTTTTTGTTCACATTAGAGTTCAGCAACCTTGATAGATAGCTAACATACTGAAACCATCCTCTTCCACCTCCTTCTTTTTCTCCTCAAGGTTACTTCTCAATTGGATCAGTTGTCTGGTCTGGAAACTATGCCAGCAGCAGCTGGGCACCGGGTCAGAGCAATTCTGGGCAAAAATGACTGCTTCTTTCAACTTGAATGTCAGAGGAAGGCATTTTGTAAAGTGTCTGAATGAGCCATGTGGGTATAACACTTCACTGCCACCAGTACAGGGAGATCTATTCTGTTCTCCCTGCTCCCAGGGCCACACAACCACCAATTCCCTTTGCAATGGCTATGGACTCATAAAAGCCTTCTGTGACTGGAGGCACCTTCATAAGCTGGTAGAAAATTAAACCATTAAAAAAAAAGTAAATAGATTTTAGTGTGCTATCCAATACAGCTGGATCACAGAGGTGTCAGACAGGCAGGAGAGCTGGCAAATGAAGACAGAGGCTGAGTGATCTGGGGATGAGGAAGCGAGAAGAAAATAAGAAGGGAAAGAAGTCTGGGTCCATCCTTTCAACAGTTGTGAGCTGTTAGATCAGCTGCTCATCAAACTGCACCCTCAGGGCCCGCTTCCATATTACATTTGATATGATCTAATTGGAGGCAGACATGGGAAGGAGCAGTGCCACTTTCCTCCAGGCCTGCAGATGCACATTCCCAATAGGCATGAGAGCAGAAGTGAGGGGAACAGGAGAACCAGCATCCACACTCAGGTAAAATCTACCTTAAATTAAATTAAAAATAAACTGCTAAAACCAGGTGGTATCAGTCACTCTCTGGAGTTCTTATATTTCCTCATTAACTAGAAGGAGCCTAGACAAAAACCTCATACTAAAACCCTATTTTCAAAGTGCCTGAAGCTCAGTGAAACAAAAGTCAGACTGTCCCTGTCTACAGTCTCCATTCTACAGTGCTGCAACCTTACATTTTGAAGGAATGCATTTGTACTAAATAATTCTTTCATTTTACAATAAAATTGATAATGGAAATACATGTAAAAAGTGAAAGCAATTGGAACTGATCTGCTGATATATGCATTATTATACCAGTTTCCAAGAGAGTTGTAACTGTTGCAAAGTATTGACACTGTCCACTTGCAATTCAAAATGAAGTCAAAACTGAAAGAACACAAAGGATAAAAGACCAAGTTTCTAAACCCTACTGATGAATCCCAATCAGGCTGGAGCTGGAAGAATAAACATAGAGCCAAGAGCTCCTCCAACAGCTGTTGAGACAGTGTGTGCTCACAGGGCTTTCATCAGCACTAGCAGGGGTTATTAGTCTCTGGAAAGAACAAAGGAGCCTCAGAGCCTGGGCCATGGAGGGAGAAGCAGCGGAAACAAAAAGGCCACTTGGATGACAGTCAGATACTTCCCTAAGTCCCATTCTCTTCCCCTTCCTCACTTGGAGGAATACCTTAACTGTTTCAGGAGCCTCTTTCACTCATGTTACTGGCTTGAGTGTTACTGACTTCAATGAAGCCATTAAAAAGAAGGTGCTATTCAACATGAACATGAAGCAAGATGGTTTTTTTTTCATTAGTAGTTGAAAGACTATTTCCTATGATGAATTATTAAACAAAGCATACAAAAGCACCTCCATGAAGCACTGGTTTCCGTAACAGATGCTGACTGATTTCAAGTAACTCTGATCTATGTTGATATTCAGTGATTAAAGAGACTAAAAAAAGGTAGTCTCACACACTGAAATAAAGGTATTTCATTCTACTGACTCTGAATCGCACACTTTACTATTAAAATATTGATTTCAAATTGCATCTTTTTTGTGTGGCCAAGAGGATTTAGTAAAGATATTAAGCACCAACTCCAGAAAAAAAAAAATTGTGTATTTTTTGAGTTTGACTGCATGAAAACATTCAAGGAAACAACTGTCTAGACATGATGACAATAAACCCTCTATTACTGGAACGGCGGGAAAAGAGGTTGCCCTCAGTAAGCAATACTTCCCAAAAAAGTCATGAGCTGTTTGCCAGGCTGTCATGTGATTAAATAATTATTTCAGATATTCATTCTTTATAAGAAGTCTTATATATAATTTCCCAATGTGGAACACATCGGTGGTTTATGGATCTTAGATCTGTATGTTTGTGTCCACAAACAAAGCTTTGTTCTGTTGAGAACTGAACGGTGCCTTACATCCATCACTGCCATATCAGGGGACAATGTTTCACCAGATCCACACTCGTGTCATGGTATAATTTTGTAATTCTTGCAATATGAACGGTGTGAAAAGGGATTAAAGGCACAAAGGAATTAGCACAAAAATTGTTATTTGCAGTAAAATAATGCTAATGATGATTACAATGCACTCAATAGGGCCATTACTGCTCTCTAATGATTTCCCTGTGGTCAAGACTCAATCCAGATAAAAATTCAAGGGAGATCCGCTTGTTACTAAGGCAGGAACAGATTTCTGATTAAAAAGAAAGTAGAGAAATTTAACTTGTCTTTTTCTTTTTTATGGGAGCTTTAGCTTCACATCCCTCTCCTGGAAGTTGCTTCATTGGGATCAACTCCTGTGCCGGCACAGCTTCAGATTGGAACTAAAAACCAAAATTAAGTGAGTCAGATAATCAGAAAAGGAAATATATGAGTATAAATGGAGAGCAAAATTCACCACTTGGTGAATTTCACGATGCACACAAAAGTGACAAATGGGTTATAAGATTTATATCACCTGACAGAGATAAGAAATTAGGTTGTTTCTTTAAACAAAGAGCTTCTCTGTACATCGAGCAAACTTGGGAGATATCAAAAATATCAAGACCAATATTAAGACCAGGCTCCGTCTTAATTCAAAGACTGCTGAAGGGTTTTTTTAGATCCTTATAGCTTTTGCATCAACTGTTTAATTTTATGTATCAAATCTAAGGTGGCCTGATACTCTGGTACTGAGTTATTACCTGAAAAACTCTGAGTCAGCTTTGTGGTTTCTGAGGAAAGTGTTATGATTCTAGGAATTCAACCTGGAGCTCTGGGCCTGTAGATATGGCCTCTGATGTGCATAGCCAGACTGATGGCTCAAGGAATACTGGATTTTAAATAATAAACATGAACTCTAGATCTGGGTACAGGAGACTTTCTCCATGTGAAAATCTCCCCTTTTGCACATACTTAAAAGAATCAGTCATTTAATTGTCTTTGTTTTCCTCCTTTGCTTGCCTCTCCAGTTGTGTAATTTCCAGTTGTGTCATTCTCATACCCAGGAATTATCCCCATCTTTTCTCTCAAAAAGTGCATCCATTTGGGACCTCTTATCTGTTTTTGACTTTTGTGTCTGAAATAAATACTCCAGTCACATTTTCAAGCTTTATTTCACAACAGTGAAAATATAAACTGAAATTCTTGTACAACCACTTGATCTAAGGAGCTTTAAGAAAAATGCTGAATATGAAACTTGTGGTTAAATTGTAAAAGTTTGCAATATGGAGATTGAGAAGAAGAGCATGTTTGCTTTGCATTTCAATTATCAACCTGCCTTTCATCCACACTTTGCAGACATACTGATTTTGATGTGGCCTTTTCATAGCTCCAGATCTTAGCAGTGATGGGGAAAAACTTGGTACAGGGATTAGCTCTTAGAACTGGCTCAAGCTGTTTTGTATTTGGTTATGTCAAGCTTGGTGTGTGCTCTCATAACCTCTATCCACTTTTATGCCACCTTTAGCTGGCTGATATCAGCCAGCACATTTCAGAAGGGAAATGGCAATTAGGCAGACTATAGATAGCCATAGAGTAGCACCTTATCAGTGTTACAAATATTTCCAGCAGCTAAAATAACCCCAAGCAAACAAACCACAACTTCCCCCCCCCGCTAAGATTACATGAAGTTTTACCTCCTTTGCAGATGAAAAGCACGAGCAGGCCAGGCCTGAGGGGACATCCCTAGCTTTGCTGGCAGTTTTCCAACAGAGACTCCATCTATTCAACAGGCAATTTCAGAGTGCACAGCCTCAGAAAACAAGGATCTTACTTGAAGTTCTGGAAAACATCTAATGCTTCCTGGGGGATCGCAAGCAGGGCAACTCATTATGAGGCTTCCTGGTGTGAACACCCGGTGAGTGAAGCTCAACTCCAGGCCTCACTGACAGGCTGCTGTCGGAGGCACTCGGAGCCACTCTGGTGAAGCTTCCAAAAGCCCCTTCTCTCTGCTGACAAATGACAGGAGGGAATGGCCAGGACCTGTGCCAGAGAAAGTGTAGGTTGGATATTACAAAAAGGATCTTCACCTAGAGGATGGATGGACACTGGGACAGGCTCTCCAGGGAAGCAGTCACAGCACTAAGAAGCGCTCGCACAACGCTCTCAAGCACATGCTGTGATGCTTGAGGCTGACCTGCTCAGGGACAGGAGCTGGACTTCGGTAACATTTGCGGGCCCTTTCCTACTCAGAATATTTTGTGATTCTGTGATTCTTCCAGCCGGCCTGAGGAGGAGCCTGGGCTCAGAGGAGAAACGAGAGCCTTCCAGTACCGCGGGTCACCAGCACGGAGGCCGCCGGCGCGGGCGGCTCGGAGGCGCTGTTCCGCCGCCGCCGTGCTCGGTAGGAAGCGGAAGGGCCGGCGGCGCCGGGAGCGGGCCGGGAAGCGCCTGAACACCCGAGGGCCGCT